ACCAAATCTCACAGTCATGAAACTGTCCCATAATGCCCTCAGCGAGCTCTCCTTTGGTGCCCCGTTCTTGAAGTCTTCCTCACGCAAAGCGCAACACGATACTTTCAGTTCCAGGGGATTCTTTGATCCTGTCATCACGAGAGCCTCGTCGCCACTGCCACGCCTTTCTGTCCTGGATGTGTCTCATAACAAACTCACCGCTTCCACCATAGACCATGCCAATTTGCCTCTGTTGATAACAAAAGCTGACTTTGCCGCAAATCCCCTAGCTTTGGGAGACTCCAACTCGACACCTGCATTTATACGAGCGCTCAGTCACTTGGAACATCTCAAGGAACTTCGTTGTGAAACCGCCGATATCGGTGATGATGCCTTTCCCAGTAACTTATCCACTTCGGAAAGTCATTGTTTTTCTCGGTTGCGGATCCTTGATATGGGTGAAACTCGGGCTACCATGGAAGGCTTGCAATCAGCGTTATCTGGACTGAAGCAGGACATTACATACGATTTTACTACTGAGGAGCCGCCAGAAGGCACTCTGAGGGTGTCTATCGGCAAAAAGGTTGTTCGGGAACCTTGGGAGGTAGAGGCGGAGAGAAGGGTGAAGAGCCGTACGCCTAAAAGTGCGACAAGTACGGAAAGCGCTGGTCCCAGCAAAACAGACGTAGGCCAAAACAATACAGATGTTGTCAAGGAGGCTTGGGAGATCGAGGCAGAACAGGGTTTGTTAACAGAGGGTGGACGTCGACGGGCAAGAGCGGCAGCGGCAATGTCTGCAGCGGATATTGCACCACCTCCGAAGCCTAGTCCCCTTATCGGGCACGGACAACCGCCCACGCCTGCTAGCCCCTCGCAACCATCGCCGACCGCAAGTTTAACGAACCCTCAATACTACAAGGCTACCACTCAAACACTCACTTTACCCCCGCTCTCAGCTCCGACAAAGTGTCACGCTCGATCCTTCTCTTTAGCAACTCCATTCTCAAGTCCACCATCCTCTCGAGGTAAAACAGATTTTGCCCTGCCTACACCGACACTTCCCCTCGTTGCTATATCAGCGCAGTCGTTCGCACAGACACTCAAGACTCTCGTGTTAAGCAACCGCAAATTTGATGTTTGCGTTTCTCTTCCAATCATTGGCGAGGTCTTACTTCCAAGCCTGGAAGAACTCGTTCTGGATGGGTGTGGATTCGGTGATCAGCTCTCTGTGATACGTCAAGCTGAAACGGGGGCTACTGCTTCTCTGCGCTCCAACGATACACTTCTACCTTTATTAACGCGCGTTTTCCCGAGTCTTCGGACGTTGGATCTATCTTACAACGTTCTTACGTCAGCTTCCCTGCAGCAGGATGCCCTGTCTTCCCTTATCCTGGCTGATAATTCCAATGGTCGTAAAGGTCTCAGGCATCTCAGACTCCGTGGCAATCGAATAGACGGACTTGATGCTTTCCAGGGCATCGCAGAACTGTTTAAAGGTAACCGTTCGGTGCCAGATTGGAAACTAGAAGAACTAGACCTCAGAGACAACGAGATTTCCAAGCTTCCTGCAGAACTTGGTCTTTTGCCTCTGGATGTCTTCTTGGTGGATGGTAACTTGTGAGTGGTTCGGCGTGCGCTGATTGTATGGTGATGTTTACCTGCTTGGTAGATTCCGTATACCCCAGAGGAGGGTTTGGGAAAGGGAAGGGACGAGAGGCCTTTTGAGCTGGCTGAGGGGTCGCATGGAATGAAATGGCACCCACACTGATGTAACTCCTTGCACTGGTTTTCCTTAGTTTGATAGCGATCATGTTCCCGCTGTCTCGAAATTGCGAGTTGACAATGCAAGCGTTTCATTCAGTGATTTATTTGGTGGAGACCAGAAACCCTTCAGTTGCTTCTGTATCAGTGCAAGCAGCATCAATGCATCAACATTGAATGCTGCATAGATGTAGATCTGTCACTAGTGACAATATTGAAGGAGTAAACAGCTGAAAGGTAAGCTGTTATGCGGCTGGCCAACAGAAGGCCATATCCCAGTCTGATTAATATGTCGATGACTGACAGACATAGTTGATGAAACACGTTAGGGTCCTCAGGCCTCAATCATGATTCGGACCGTGACAGCGCCATGGAACCGGTAAATCAACTCGTTATCGAGTCTGTATAGCACCAAAAATTTATCTAACAAAATTTGGTACTCTAGTCCATTCAATTCGGATGTAATGTATAAACCGATATAACGAGATATGATATAACTTCGGACGGCAATCATTGCCTCCATAACGATTCCTTCGGCTCAAACTTGCAAAGATCACTTCTGCTCTTCACCCACTCCTCACGTCTATGCCTGCACGAAGCGAGATAGCCAAGTTGCTCCGGTGTAGGATGATGGACGTGGAGCACAAACAAATAATCAGACATGTCGCTCTGATGGACCACCGAAAACCTATTTTCTCCACTTCTGATGAAAGCAGATATGTCGATGCAATTGTCTGGGGTGACCTGTCGAAACGAAACTTTCAACTTCATTGTAATTTAGTATGTATACTGATACTCACGAAAAGCGGTGGAGCTAGCGGAATGATAAAATCCTTCCCGTTCCGCTTCGTCTGCAGTGAAACGTCCCCAGATGTGGGCCACGTGCATGGCGAGTACATCAGTGTCTCAAAGCATGGCGTAGGTCTATCACCTTCTAGTGGATTGAATGGAAGACTGGGGAGATGATAGCAAGCGAACGACACACAAACACTTTGTTCCAAATCTCTGTGAACCGCTAAATTTGTGTACGGACAAGATAAAATTGTCACATACGAGGTTAGTGAGGACTTGGTATGCTTCGACTTCGCCCACTGAGCTATTTGGGAATAATGTGAATCGAGGTTGAAAGTGACGTTAAGAGTCTCGAGAGCCGATGCAAGTCCTCGCCAATATATCATCATGACCATTTGCCCTCCAAATCTCGGGGAATTAACCTGCGGAGTGGTGACTGGACACGACTGAAATTCGCCTTTTTTGACTACTAAATGGTTCGAGGGTGTCCCAGGTGGCTTCATTGAAGCTAGGAAATCCGTGGTTTGCTTTAACGAGGACATAGTGACATTGGGAGCAACGTTTTCTGGCGCGCCCGAGGGATGCTTCTCTGAATCTCGAGGAACATTTTCCGGTTGTGAGTCACTCATAGTAATATCAGTTACAGCGGGCGCGATTCTTTCTTCGTTAGATCGCCTGATGTCCACAGGAGCTGGAACCCGGGGAAAAGTACTCGTCTGATAAATGATTTCCGCAGCTGTAGGCTGGTTTGCTGTCATCGGTCCACTAAATGGCGGTCTCGGATATATCCTCCCCGGCATGCGAGACGGCTTTGGCTTCTCTGCAGCAGGGGCCCCTGCTGCATTATTCAACAATACAAACGTACCAGGTTGAGCAGTTGGATCCGCCACAGGACTTGCAATCTTTGAATTACGGGCAGCAGCTGGCTGTTCTAGTTGTGCCCTAAACCATTGTAGGTCGCGGTTTTTAATGTGCTCGAGTATTGAAGGTCCCTCAGGCTTGAGTTGGCGCTTAGGCCGCGGTTTGGGGATAGCCTTAACTTCTCCGGATCCAGCATTGGTCGGGAGAACTGCTGAGTATAATGTAGATGTGGTACTAAAAGTCTGCGTTGTTGCCTGTAAATTTGTATGTCAGATCACGAATGAACAGGGCATGTGGCATATCTTACAGGCGATTGAACTGAGTCCGCTTGCGAACCGCTAGGAAACGTTAGCTGCGTGGTTAGGGTCGCGTCCTGGGCCAGTGTGATTGCTGGCATACCTAGCGCTGAGGTAGTGTTCTAGGTAAGATTATGCCCCCATTCCTTGAAAGAGATCAAGCTTATATATGCACAGAAAGAAAGAAAAAGGATGTCCAAGTGGGCATAAAACAAAGACTTTTCTTTCCAACATAAAGGTTGCTTTGTCGAACGCGTTGACAAATGCCAAATTTTGCGACGAAGCAACTTTAGATTGAGAGGCCGCTACCGTGCGACCCACCTCAATAAAGGCCTTTCTGATTCAACTACCACCCTACACGTTGTGCTGTTAGCAAAACTGCCGATTTTTGCCAACCGATCTCAGAGTACGCGTCGAGTGCATTGGGAACATTGAGATGCGAGGTGTGGAGGGAGTGAAGGAAGAGGAAAAGGCAGGGGCAGGATTAGGGAGAACGCGGGCGAGTGAGTAGAGGAAGGTGAGTACATGCATGTTTTTTTTACTTTGATAGAGCTTGGGAAGTTTGGAGACGACATGGAGGTTATGTAGTTAACGTTAAGTTTCATTTAGAATGAACACATGCGGATTGCAAATGCTCACGAGCTTGCATGTCGCCCTAAATACTAATGCTACATGATGGCAGTAGCATTCCCTCCAAATCCCCACAACCACTGAGCAGCCTGAGCCTCGAGCAGTCTGGCAGACAGCAGGCCTTGCATAAGTTCTACACATGTTAGGCGGACATGCTTCAGCACTGGAAAGTATTGAGTTTCTCATATCTCGCATTCATACAGCGATTGCTGGCCAAATCTTACCGTTCAATTTAATCGCATACCAGCGCGCCGTTATGTTCTTCTCTGCACCTGCTATGGTCAGTGGAAACACTGCCATCAAGGCTGCGGCAATGGCCGACTGTAGTGTCTTCTGGAATGAGACCCTCACGATCTGTAGAAGCCCGTTGATATTTCCCATGTGGCTTATGCCCATCTTCTCTGGCAGCTCCTCCAAAGAAGCTCGCCTCAAAATTCGCGCCTCGTTGCAAAATGCTCGATCGAGGCGAACTTGTGAAATTACCTGCACACGACTCATGGACAGTCCGGTAAGTTTTCACCTCTCACAATGTCGTTGTTCTGACGGCGGTCCCGACACCCGAAGTATCACTCCCGTTGTTGATAATCAGCACATATCCCTTGAATTGAAGGCACGGACTAGCCGCTGTCGAGGTATGAGTGAAAATGAGTAAAAGTTCCCCGTTGTTCAACAAAAATGCAACTATAATATCTCCAATGTCCTGACATTCATCATGTCATCGACACAAGCCATGTCCCTGACTTGTGCAATGATATTGCAATCCGAAGCAATTCTCTTATACTCCCCACCCCGCTGCTGTGCCAGTAAAAGTGCACTAAAAGGCTGTCCAAGGCGAACAACCAACCCCAATTCTCGCGTGTGAGACCGCGAATCAGCCTGTTCCTGCTGCCCTAGCCAAAGTGCGCCCAATTGCTGTGTGAGGCGAGTGAGTAAGCTCGGCTCTCGAGTAAGAGACCGCAAACCAGCCGGCTCGTTATCTAACGGAGATAAGCCGAGTGGATCATCTGATGGAGACCCAGGCTCAGGCCCATCATCCGTGCTCCGCATCTCGTCTGCAAAGTCGGGCAGGCCAAGATCATGACGATTCCACGGACGGATGAGCAAAAATTTCTGTGAAGTGGGCTTTCCAGGCCAAAATTGAACCAGCGTGTCCGCCGTTGTGATTTCAAGGTCTTGGACTCCGTCTGCCTTTATACGATAGGTGCGAGGTGTACCGGCCCTCCGCTTGACTTTTGTGACTGGAAACGTGATGCAAGGCAGGCGCAGCCTGCAGTTGGCGAAGCGAGGAGCACTGAGATTGTCAAGGATGTTGTAGAGTTTCAAAGCCGACGCCTGAGTCACATTATTTCGCAGTGAGGAGGCCGATGACTGAATCTCATCTTCAGATAGAGATGGCAGTGTGCATGGCGGGGCTCTGTATGAGGCAATGTTGGCTGGCAGACAGCTATTGAAACTGGATGACTGCCCAACCCAGTCCAGGGCTGTGATATCACCCGAGTGAGCGATGATCTCCTGCAAGAGACGTCCAAGCGCGTTGTGTCTCTTCTCGCCGTAGATGACAGGTAGATGGATACCGAAAATGCCAAACAATGAGTACGCAATGTCTTCCTGTAATGTCGTAACACGGCATGATGCCCATTGAAGTTTCTCTCGGGCATTTTTCATCCCCGGGCTGAAGGCAACGAGCGCCTGCGCATTTATACCAGTTGAACGCTCCAACTCCTGCATGATACTGACAGACTCTTTGTGGTTGAGGGAGTGGTCGTGAAGATACAGGGTCCAGTCCGCTTGGTAGAAGAGAACAACTGTAGGAGCGAGGAACTCCTGAACAGTCCACCCTCGCGTGTTCCAAACGCTCTTTGCCAGTGCACCAGACTTTGACGAAGGAGAAACATCAGATAGATAGATAATGGTGAGTGCTGAGTTGCGATACCAGACGAACATGGAGTTGACTGATGCTTGAACCTCGACGTTATTATTCTGGTCAATGCAGCATGTGTCGCTCCACGCCCAAAAATACCCCGCATCGTGAGCGATTTTGCAGAACTTCTGCAACTTCACTATAGTTCCAACTGGACGTATTGTGTACACGTCCTTGTCCTGAATTTCGTGCAGCCGCGGCTCCTTGGTTTCCCACCTGTGAGATAACATGACCCAGCTGAAGTACTTCACGACCGCTTCTCTGATGGGCTCCGTTTGAAGGTGCCTATGCAGCATCGATGACGACAAAATCTCCTTGTACTCCATGCTTGTCTTGAAGGTATTTATTTGTGCCTGTCGATCACATATCTTCCCAGTGATGGTGTGAATTAGACGAAGTGGTGCATTTTCTAGGTGAGCATGAACAGCTTGTCGAATAGCATCTTCTATTTCAGACGGATTGACATATTGTTTACGCAACTCTGAAAAAAGAGTAAATCATCTTTAATTTGGTTACTGAGGTCTGAGGTACTGTGGGCTCACGTCGTATCTGTGAGTCGGGTGCATTATCCAACTTGGAAAGCATGATCTTGAAGGACTCGATTGCGTCATCATAGCGCCGTGCTTCATAAAGAGCTGCATGCTTCAATTTGTACCCAAGGTAAGACGATGGGTTGAGCTCGATAACCTGAGAATCGTTAGTATCTAGCATCACCACAATTGTTGAAACAGTGACAGATATCGTCCGCACCTTTTGGGCGTCTAAAAGGGCCTCGTGATAGAGGTTTCGCCTCAACTTCACCTTACTGCGGTGTGCAAAGTAAGAGTCGGATAAGGAATACAACTGGGCTGCTGCCGAAAGTGTGTTCTTGATGGACCAGAACTGAATCTCGCCATAGAGGTCTCCGACCACGACCAATTCTGCGTTGGGAGAAATGGAGACACATGTAACGTCTACGATGTGTTTGAGTGGTTCTCCTATCTTCTGGTGTGACTTTGTGCTCCAATGTTGGACGGTCCTGTCATCCGAAACAGCTGCAATAAAGGAGCCATCAGAAGAGATGGCAAGCGAGTTAATGTTGGAAGTGTGACTGGTGCAAGGTTGACCGATCTGGTACCCTTTCGAGGAGTCCCAGAACTTGACTGTTTTGTCGTATGATGCAGAGACAAGTTGCTGGCCATCAGGTGACCACACGACACTGAGGACCCATTTTTCATGAGCGTTGATCTCGAAAATAAGTTCGGCGTTAGAGTCTGTGCGCCAAATCTGGATGCTGCGCAATGATCCGGATGCTAATTTTGAACCATCTGGGTTGAACGCGACACTCGACACCCCGCCTCGATCACCCTGGAGTGTTGAGAGCACAGTGCCAGTTTCTGCATCCCATATAATCACTGTCGAATCATATGACCCGCTTGCGAGTCTCTTGCCATCGGGGGAGAAGCACACCGAGGACACCCATTTTGTATGCTTCGTCAGTGGGTCGAATAGCAACCGCCTGCTCTCGATGTCCCAGATTATGATAGTGTTATCTTTCCCACCACTCGCGATTCGCCTGTCGTCTGGCGATACCGCGACTGAAAATACCTTGTTACTGTGTCCTAAGAATGGCCCCCCGACCACTGTCCCCTTTTGTATGTTACAGATTCGCAGGGTGTAGTCCCATGAACCAGTGACGACCCGCCGACCGTCATTGAAGAATGCGACTACCGACACTTTGTCCGTGTGTAATCGCATCGTTTGCATTGGCGTCGGCGTCGCGCGCCTTCTCACAGCATGCTTTTTCTTGTTTGCTACATCAAGTAGTTCTGACATGTAGCGATGACCTAGACAGGGAGACAGAGGGTCAGTAGCATTTCAAGTTTACGGAGAGCATACCTTACGGTTATGTTGTCAGTCTTATCGTGAGTAGAGTTGCTGCTCAGTTGTAACATCTCATGCAAGTAGCCTAGCGCTTGTCCGGCCGAGTTGAAGCCGAGTTACAAAAGTTAACCCACGCGTATCTCACCTGAGGCTCCCACGCCTTACTACGCTGTGTCTGTGTGTCCGGTCTAAGTCGAGTGATTCCTGTTAACGCTTTTGACTTTTACTTTTAGATATCGTATTACCTTCTTGATGTTGTCAGCATCCATCAACACAATATGCAACACCTCATCTTAACAACTTCTTGCTTCTTCACCACACGAACTCTCTCCCCGCACATCATTTCCCCGGTAATCTCACTCCTTATCATATGTATCGAACAAGCTTGCCAGATTTCACAGTCCAACATTGATCGTTTTGGTTCTCGCCACTGGTCTTCTGTGATGTTGAATGGATTATTGATGAGGGTGAAAGCTGTGCTGTAATAGGGATAGGCTTGAAGCAAAAGACAGCCCTTTTGCAGGTCCATCATGCTAATATTCCGAAGTGTTTGCATTGACAAATTCGCACTGCGCTGTAGATGCTCCTAGGTCACCTACGTATAACTCCTCCTTACCCGGTGGACTGTTTCCTTTCCTCTCAGACTCTCCTTGCGACCCACACCTTGTGGCTCTTGTATCGTTCGCGCATCGGCCCCGCGCAGCAGGTGGTACCTTCTATGACTACACTTCTCGATATCGCGCAGTTAGAGAAGAAGACTGTACCATGGGGAAAGTATGTTCGGAGAATACGACTTTCTGGACATTCAGCCAAAAGGTGGAAAGGTGAATTGACGAAGTAAAGAAGGGCATCTTTGAGGACCTAACTTTGAGACTAGGTCTTTCCTCTCTATTGGATTTACCTTTGATTGCTTTATGAAATGGCCAGATGCGTCGAGCACGCATTGTGAAGGCCATTTTCGTCGGAACCTTTGAGTGAGTCATTGAACTTAAATTCGACGAGCACAAAGTATGATTGCTGTTTTCTATCCAGCTGGTCTTGACGTCGATACCCACCCAATCTTGTTGAGTGTTCTTCGGTCATTGCATGAGTCTCGCAGTCCATGCTTTATCATGGGTCTCATAACAGACTCCAGGAACAACTACATTGACCAAGTCAGCAACGAACTACATATTGTGCCATCAGCCACAGCACCAATGCGAAAGTAGAAACACGACTCACTGTCCAGATGTGCTCGTGGACTGCCTGCCAGCCCATCGGTGAGCAGTCTTACTGGCAGGTTTTCTGACCGCTGTGCTATTGACATTGCAAGGTGCAAGGGGTGAGCAACAGGGTTGAATACTGGATGCAAAGCAAGCTACTCATACTCACGTACAATAGAGCACAGTGGTGACTGCAGCAATCATCGTTCGTAGCGCAGATCTCGAAGTAAGACTTGCACCCTGCGGCTGTGACAGATATGCATGCTGCCAAAGTAGTAACGATGACGAGGAACTTGAAGGAGATGTGCATGATATATACAAAGTGGTAAAAGCTTCGTAAAGGGGACTCTGAACTACTGAGGTAGACAGAGCTTGCTTTTATATCCTGAAAACATTATTGTGGGCAAAAACTTGAAGCTCTATTGATTTGGCAGATTGGTTGCACCTGGATGGCAGAACTTCGCAACGGATGGTTCAGGATGAATCTATTGGAGCCCCAGAATCAGGACCTTGCGTGGATGATATATATATCTGGACCGTTGCTCACAACGAGCACGAATGTTTCGGCAACACGGTGCGGTGTCGACTCAGAAACCTGGTGTGACACACAAGTGACATGATTTTATATTATTGTTAGGTGTGCTCTGTATAAAACACGGCGGACTATTATGAAAAATGTATGCAGCATGGCGGCAAATCGAACCGTCACCAAAGATCCACCATAGCGCGTATAATTTCCTGCCAGTACGAATAATTGTGAATTTTCCGCCGAGGGCCTTTCTGGCGACACAACCTGACATAGTAGTGCCAGTTGTTTCTATTCTCAGATGCCGGTGGCTAGGGCCGTGACCCTGATATATGTGTCTTGCAGTCACATTGGTAAATGCTACTGCAGTGCGACTCTGATGTGGGATCAGCTATCTGGGCAGTGGGTAGCTTCTACTGATTCTCTTACTTTAGTATTCACACCAAGGACCGGGTTGATTGCCAGACGTTCCGGATATTGTCAGCTTGCTACTTGGTGTAAGAATGGTGGGTAGCTAGTACTGCATTCCAGTAGTAATAGTAATCCAACACGAAATAGATTTGTCTAGACCTTCCGGATATACTTCGAAACACCATATGTTAAATAAATACCACGAACGGATCCTGAACCAAATTTCTCCCTGCAGACCACTCGGCAAGCATTTCCCTACACAGTACTGCTAGTTGATACATGCACACGTTCATCAAATCCATGCTAGTTTCTGCGTCGGATTTGGTCACGAGTTCAGCATGATATTGTCGAACGCTAAGGATGAGGCGTGGTCCCAACACAAACATCTGCATGACCGATAAAACTTGAAGAGCGCCCTGGGGTCCAATAGAATATGAAATGATGAGCAGTGGTCACACGCAGATGCCAGTAACAGGTTAGCGCACCGCGATTTCTGAAGAGTCAGCACCAAACTGAATGATAGAGACGCAAACAAAGCTAGCACGTGCGGAACTTGAGAAAAAGATAGCCCATCCACATGATAAGCTCACATGACAAAATAAAACACGTGAGATCTGGTCAACACTGTGAAACAGTCCCCGGTGGTCGATCCTATCGATGGGCCGAGTCGTCGCAGGTCACGGAAGTGTTTTACAGCAACCCAGAGTGAAAGACACAGAGCGAGGACCTCCCAAATAGTGTTGAGGGTCCAAACCATTGTGTACAGAATCTGGACGTCCCCTTCAGATCCATATTTGCACATATACGTGCCAAAGAGTATGAACTCCTCTGGTGTTTGTCCAATGAGCCGTGTTCTTCAAGTCAACAAACAAAGCTTACCTGCTACAGTATCCTTGATTCCTATTACCGCGATTACTCCACAGGCGATGTTTACAACCAGGAAGATGATAACAAGGAATATGAACATCTTTCTAGATCCTTGATACATGGCATGTAAACGAGCAATCATGATGACTTGCATCAGGTTTCAGTCGAGTCGATATCACAGAGGTATTGCAGCTGGGTGACTCACCGCCCAACATGGCAGTTACGACCACATTTGTCCCATTCTGTGCGAAGTACATAATATTGCCTTAAACACTTGATTAGTGAACACCCTCATACTAGGATCAAACACTCAGACTCACACCTATCGAGTCATTATGTTGAGCCAAGTTAGTAAATGGTCAGAATCATGCTCACCCCTACAAATGAGTGTGTTCATTGAATAGTAATGAGATGGTTGGTGAATACTCACTGCATCTGTCAGCGAGACCAATGGTATAGTTGCTGTGTGCCGCTGGTAAGAAGAATCAAACACAGCACATATGAGACATACGTAGAACATTGGGACTAATTGTCAGAAATGAGTTATTAGCGCAGTGCCGATTTTTAGCCTTGACACATACACAGAATACGGTAATCCGATATAGCGTATCTAGAACATTGAGGAGTCAGCACAACCATCGACCACGCTATGGCATAATATGAGGTACGAACGACCAAATACAGCACAGTCATGAGAGACCAGCGTTGCCTCTGTCGCGAATTCGTTGTATTCTCCTGTTTTTTTTTGATACGGGACTGTTGTTACTCACCCAGATCAGTTCAATCTATGACACCATCCTTAGTGAGTTGGTCGCTGCGGCAACGACATCGACCTACCTCTTGTCCAAGCGTTAGTGCTGGAAATATTATGAGAATATCAGCGGTCTTCGAAAACTGTCCTGCTCACTCCAATCATATACCACGATGACGCTAGCGGCAACTGCGAAACCGCAAGTCAACATTAGTTCTAGACATCTTGATGAAACAAACCTGTCCAATAGCCGTATAAAATATTTGAATGGATTATCGGCCACGAACTGGGATCATCTGAGATAAAGGTCATATTCGAGAGATGGGTGTGAGTGAGTGAGGAATGTTGGTGATGTATCACGATAGCGTTCGCGCTTTATATCCCACCGTTCGGCATTTCTATCGCGAAAATCGGCATGATGGAGATGGATATTTGGTCCTGCCTCAAGACCTTTGATCGGGTGAAATGGTACGAAATCAACAAAAGAAGAAGCCCTGGATGATCAAAGTAGAATTTGACTTACAGACCAGTATCATTCATGTGACTACTTGGATACTAGAAATGTTCCAGCCATTGGCGGTGTCGAAGACTTATTTCCAATGTCATTTTCGAGGTGTTCCGTATGAAACCATGTGGCCATCAATCTAAGACAGGTGGCCTATAAGCGTGATCCGATCGCAAAAAGCATCCAAGCTCGAGACTTGCTATCAGCTCCGCTGATTGCTTTCTGTAAAAAGGTCGCATTCTGTAGTACGGCAAAAGTCAGAGAAGAAACATGACAGCGCATTCTATTCGGTCACCGGTGGATCCGATCGTGCACTTGATGCGACGGTGATGTATTGCACTGGTGGATACATGCTGTGCGATTGATACCTGTTAAATTCAAGACACCGTAGTACATAGTCGAAAGAGAAATCGCACGTGGAGCAAGAAGCCTGTAATTTCAGTGATGTTTTGCAGTACCGACTTGCAATGAGCCTAGTAGCCGGTAAAGGTTGCGAGCTAAAAGCGAGATCCATCAGATGAGCAAAGAACACCGATGTTGTGTGTAAGAGCTTAGAGGGCGCTGTGACGTTTGTGAATATGGCATTGTCCAATAGAGTTATTATGAGAACGAGTCGCGTGAGTAATTAAGGTTTGAAATTTGAACTTCTACTTAGTACATATATAGTACTTCCAGTTGACAGTGCATGCAGTCGTTATTAGTTAAACTGCTTCCACTTCCGTTCATCTAGACCACTGTGCTATGATCCTCTTGTGTTTGCATGATATAAGAATCCTTGTCACCTCGCTCGCCCTTTTCTGTACAGCAATAGTGAAAGCATCTCCAAGTTTACCCCATGGTATGTATTCTCTCGGAACACTTACACAAATCATGGATACACTCTGATTCTGCCAGCATATTCAAGACAGGTGGAATTCCCAGCAATTGATATCCCCTCTCATCTCAAGATTCTCAACCCATATCCCGATAAACCTCGTCTCACCTTCAGTTCTTCTGGGACTTTTAAACTGACCGTATTCTCGGATCTTCATTATGGCGAAAATCCCTGGGATGATTGGGGACCTCAACAGGATGTTAATAGTACACGTCTGATGCGCCGTGTACTGTCTTCTGAGAAGCCTGACTACGTGTATGGATTGTGTTCACTTTCCTCCAGTTGGATGTTAATAATGACACAACATCTCTCCAGCGTACTGAATGGAGATTTAATTACTGGCGAAAGTATGCTCAAATTGACCTGGGCTGCTTGTTACCGTTGGTGACACTCCCTTGTTTTACTTAGATACGTTTCGGGAGAATTCAACCACTCTCATCGATCGCATAGTGGCTCCTCTAAACGAAGCAAAAATACCCTTCTCTTCTACACAAGGGGTGGGTCTATTTTTCATGAACCGTTACTAGAGATGCATATGACGAAAATAATGTTTGTTAGAATCATGACAACGAACAAAACATTACACATCTTGAAGAAATACGACGGGAGCAGCGCGATAGTTATCTGAGCTACACTCGCACCGCACCACCTGGTATTGGAGGGGAGGGAGGGGAGGGCACGTATTGGGTTCCGGTATGTTACAAGGGTGACTTTTCAACCGGGATTATCATTGACTGTAAACATGATTGTTTTTCTGTAGATCTACGAAAAAGCGACAGGTGCCTATCAAATGTTAGGAACGCTTGTCGTTACTTACCTACGCATTTTGTTTCCAGATCTGACGCCTGCTTTGATCCTGTGGTTTTTTGATTCCAGAGGTATACTCCCACCTTCTGCCAGGAAGTCTTTAGTCGAATCACTGACGTTCTTCGACTACCAGGTGGTTGGTCCCCTGGTTCTACATCTGCGCCGCTACCCGACTGGGTGGACGACTCTGTAGCAGGCTGGATCGAGCGCGAGACAGCTGCAATGGAAGCTGGGTGGGATTCAGTAGAAAAGAGAGAGCGAGGAGCGTTAGCCTTCGTACACATACCTCCGTAAGTGGACTTTATTCAACTACCATGTCTTCATTCTGAAATAAACAAAAGACATGCAATCGAGAATGTGCAAAAGACGCTGAACACCACGATAAACCCAGGATTAAATGGTGGCTGAAGTTGAATATGTCTGATATCCTCTGTTGCTCACTGCCGTGGATTTTTCCAGCCGACACTCTATCCCAGGGATCAACACAAGCCACTAGCAACCCATCATCAGCCGGAAAAGACCAACCGTTCTGGGATTCGTTGAATACCAACATCAAGAACCTACACGCAGTGATCTCTGGGCATGGTAAGTTCGTAGATTTGCAAGTTTTGTCTTGTCGTTTATCATATGGCTATGTGTTTTTTCCACAGATCATGGCGATGAGTGGTGTGCCCGTGAGCCTTCGAAGGATGTTATATTTTGTTTTGACAAGCACTCCGGGTATGTGATCTTCATCTGGACTTGTTCGGTTCAGTGCATGCTCATCATTTACTCTATCTACTCTTATTGCACGCATGATGTCTTAGATACGGTGGCTACAGTAGCGCAGGATGGGGCCACGGTGTACGGAATATCGTGTTCCCCTCCGCAGATCCTGCTAGTGGGCTTGAAACGTGGATCTTGCTTGAGGACGGACAGACGAGAGCAAGAGTTACACTGGATGGAAACTATGGTCGATGATTTGCGATTACGTGACCCACGTTTGCTGTATACACACTTACCTATGAGAGTCAACGTCAACACAGCGTCACGCACGTTTATACGTTTTTGGACGGGAGCAGTTCACGCTATCAAAATTCCTTGTGACCACGGCTACTAGCTCTGAACAGCTTCCGCGACTGACGTCTGATCGCCCCACAGGAACGGGAAAATAAGTAATAGTCTGAATTTATATCCGTCTGTGAATTACACTGCCCAAGCAATGTTGCATGCTGTCGCGGACTCTCCGGTACAATAATTAATAGCATTGGCCAGGAGCTCAAGCGCTCAAGACTCGGCCAAGCTCTCCAATGAGTTATCAGAGGCCTGCTGGACCCACATATTATGATACAGACCGCCCAGACGTAACAATTCCTCATGAGTGCCCTGTTCCGCAACCTGGCCTTCCTTAAGCACAATAATTAAATCTACGATCAAGTCATCAATATGCCTGAGCAAAAACAGAGTGCAGCCAAGGTTCACCTGCTTCAACCACGGTGCGGAGTCTATGCGCGATAAATATACTTGTCCGTGCCTTGTCCAGCAACGTGCTGTTAATACTACGCATGAGCTCAGTTTCCGTGTGAGCATCCAAGGCCGACGTCTGGAAATTGCGGTCAATGAATGTCCTAATGTAAATCAGGCACACGGGAGCTCACAGCTTCATCAAAGAAAAGGATCGGGGGATCTTTGAGCAACACACGTGCAATCGCCAACCGCTGCTTTTCCCCTCCAGAAATCATCAAGCCTCTCTCGCCGACCGTGGTCTTGTAGCCATCGGGAAGACCCATGACTGTGTTATGAACGCTTGCTTTCATTGCAGCCGCTTTTACTTCATCGTCCGTGGCATCAAGTCGGCCATACCGCACATTGTGCATGATATCAGAATGGAACAGCGGCGTATCTTGTGGAACTACACCAATAGATTCCCGGAGACTCTGCACCTGAATGTCGCGGATGTCCTGGTCATCTATGAAAATCTGTCCGGAAGAAGGATCGTAGAAACGGTACAGGAGACGGAAGACCGTGGACTTCCCGCATCCGGATGGACCAACTATAGCCACTTTTTTGCCCGCCGGAACCGTGAAGGACAAGTTGCGGAAGATGGGCCGATCCGGATGATAGCCAAAGTTCACATTCTCAAAACGGATAGAACCACCTTTCAATGCAAGCGGTTTTGCATCCTCTTTATCCTTTACAAGGAAATCATGTCGGCAAAAACTTGTGATGAAGAATCCCTAGAGCGCACCTTGGCGGGAGCATTCTCAGTTTGGATATTGAACAATACTTCCATATCTAAAAGATTTTGACGCAACTCGCGATAGATGCTACCCAGGAAGTTCAAGGGAAGTGACAGCTGGAAAATTAGTTGGTTCGCCATGACAAGGTCGCCAACAGTCATGGTCCCTGACCAAAGCTTGTCTCAGACTAAAAATGTGTTATGAAAGTTCGGCCGACCACACCTTTCATGACACCTTGTGCAGCAAGGAACATTGTAGCTGTCAACGCTGTGGAAAAAATTACATTCTGACCGGAATTGAGATAGGCCAAAGATGTGGTGATCTTCACGGAAGATTTCTCGTATTGCTTGAGATGTTTATCGTACTGTGCAATCTCAAATTTCTCGTTGTTGAAATGCTACAACGGAATTTACGCAAAAAAGATGAAAACACGCAATAAATAAATACCTTAACTGCCTCGTAATTGATAAGTGAGTCGATTGCTACGGTCGCAGCTTTATTGTCCGCCTTATTTGCATCGCGGCGAAATTGAGTTCTAAATAAATTGAGTCAATGGGCTGGCTCAGATAAATAATAATACTGACCTCCATGAGGTTGTGCGAACGGTGAACCAAGTGTATGCAGCTAAAGTAGTGACAGTGATTGCAGCGAAATCCCAACCAAATTTCCAAGTCTATTTCAGTGGTGAGTAGGAAATGAAACTGAATCGGCTCTTGGCTCACAAGTATTCCGCAAACCATAGATATCTCCAGGGCAGTCGGGAAGATGCGGAAAATAATGGCCTGGAGCATGAATGTGATACCCCTGAGGTATGACATTCAAAATTTGTATTGTGCTGTCAAAATGCGACATACTTGGTACCGCGGTCAATTGCACGTGTAAGTCCACCGGTTTGCCGTGCGAGATGGAACTTGAGATCCAAGTTCAAGAGATGTTCAAAGGTCTCTCTAGCAACTCTGCGAACTGCTTGTTGACCAATATTGGCAAAAACAACGTTCAGTAGTTCTCCAAATAGCGTGGCTCCCGTCCGAGCAGCCCCATCTGCGATTTTTTTTATAGAAGGTGACGAATCCATATAGCTATGGACTCACATCCGAGGATGAGAGAACCTGCAACAACCCATAGTGTCGAATCGGCCATCACGTCTAGGTTTAACGCGTCAATCACGGACTTGAACAGCTGGGGCACCTGAACATTTAACACCTGATGAAGTCATATTTGGATTCAGTCACCCTCTTATTTTTATGCAGCACACCGTACCTTGCCAGCAATCAAAAGTCCAAATCCAAGGACAACACGACCGCGTGTGCCCCAGTCGTCTTTGGGCCAGACATGACTCATCAGTCGTTTGACAATAATCCAATCTTTTCTTCTCTGTTCTTTCACAGTTACATTGTCGGAATCAACCGACTTCGAGACGCTAGTGGCTGCAGGTGCGTCATTCGCGTGGAGAATGGAAGAGGATGTGAAAGTTGAGATGAAAGGAGTTAATTTCAAAGAGGAAGGGCGTGCATACAAACTCCTCATAGGCTTTCCATTCAATCCGTAATTCGGACGTGAGATAAGCCGTTGAGAAGTAGCGGCATTGGAGAACGCTCGAAGGGGGGTTGCTGAACGATAGACGAGCCGTGAAGTGAGAGGCGTTCCTGTCCACATGAAGGAACAAATGAACCTTGACAGTGCCGCATGCGCGACCAAGTGACAAGAGTAATACTGTATTTCCGGATTCCCGAAGTTTGAGTCGTTTCGGTCGCTCAAGAGCCTATTACATAATTTTGTAATATTGGTACTCAAATTGCTAAGTATAGCGTCATAACAAGAGTAGTCGGCTGTGATGCCATCGTAGTGCAACTCCGCGCAAGAACTCAGACACTAGGGGAAAATTACTATCAAACCCAAGATTAAATCCAGTCCAAATACCACGAACGAAGATGAAGAAGTGTACCACAGCTCGCTATAGATTCAGAAAACTCAACCGAACAGAAAGGCAGTACATGAGAATTCTATGAGAATTCTATGCAAGGTATCCAAACTTTTGTGCAAACTTCAAAGCCCATGACAACGGCTGACGCGGGTCAGACCGGTCAGGCCTAGGTCCGAGGGCTAAGTATTTCTGGTCAACGGATCATGCTATGATCTGGTTTATGGTTCGGTATAAGGTCTGGATTAGCAAGGAAATCTTTATACGGACGATGCAGAGCAATATTCACAATAACCTCTCCATACAGCATCTCAATGTAGCCTGAGACTACGCACAACAGGAGACAGAGGGCAGCGTGCAAATAAAGCCTCATTGGGTGCAGCACCCAACTCGGCACGTAAGCGACAGAAGTGAAGTGGGAAGGAAGGGATTTGACACTGATTCTGACGAGTACGTACGCTTAAGCTTCGGAGCAAAGTGTACAGGACGTTGGCGAGTAGCTTCCGTAATGACAGGCGCGGGTAAATTAGACTAGTACTGGCAGTAGTCACTGACCATGTTGACATATGTAGCGCTACAAATACGCACCTTGACAAAGAAAGGAGGCGAGGGAAACATGCGCGGGAAGGACTTGGCCATGCAAACCAACGGAGAGCCATTGAAAAGCAAGTCGAACGAATAGTGTTACGCGAATTACGGTTGTCACGTGAAAAACGAACTTTAAGCTCGCAAACGTTCAAGAAGGGTATCAAGACGGGTCTGCATGCATGAACGACTGTAAAGTCTGGACGGGGGCATGATCAAGGTAATTATCGGATCTTACTGCAGTAGTAATTCGCTGATCCGAGCCTTCAAGCAAACGTTTTACTGACATCCGGCCGGAGACATACCTTATCCTGAACAGGTCAACTCAAGGGTGACTACACAGGCGCCCGGCGGAGGTTCTCGCACGGCCTTAGTTATAAACCTTGATGGTGTACCTGTGTTCGAAGATCAGTCACTATTGGCTAAAGACGTACGAACGTGCCCGCCTAAGAATGGCGGTGTCCACATAGAGGCCGACCGCAGTTACAAAGGCGGACCTGATGGGGCGGATACGATCACTCTTCTTAGTCTAGGCCTGAGAATCCAGTGAGCATCGTCCATGCGGTATAAATGTCAATGAAAGCAGATACTACAGCTGCAGGCTTTCCCCATAATATCAGGGTCCTTATCCTCCGTGATTCGCAATGACCACAAATCCTTACCAATCATCAAGCCATGGATCGTACCATGAGCCCGAGAAGGCGCAGGTTACGCTGACACTTGATGAGCGCCGCCGCGCTGCTCTGGAAGAAATTGACAATGCGCCCTTCTCGTGAGTTTCATAAAATCTTCAACAGAAATTTTGCAGAAATTCATTTCACCCGGGCCCTACTAGGTGGTTCCATGTCAAGGTTGGTTTGGTTGCCAGTGTAGGTTTCTTTACCGACGCGTAAGTTTCTACATCCTGTGTCTGTCACTCCCCCTCACCTGCCGCCAGCTACGATATATTTGCCATCAACATCGCTGCCACGATGTTGGGCTACGTCTACGGTCACACGAGTGAGCATGCAGCCCCATTTATCCGTTGTTGTTGTGTTAAATTATACAAAGGTAATCAGCTCAATACCAACCAATCTTTGGGTGTCAAGGTAGCAACTCCTGTTGGCAACTTGGTCGGTCAACTCCTTTTCGGATGGCTCGCAGATCTTGTGGGCCGTAAGAGGATGTGTCAGTATTATTTCATCTCCAAGCTAATCACCTTCATTAACCAATGCATGATAGACGGTGTCGAGCTCATGGTCATGATTATTGCGACTTTCGGCCAGGCGCTCGCAGGCCAGGCCCCAGCAGTGAACGTTCTCGGTGTTATTATTGTCTGGCGTTTCATTGTAAGTGCAAAGAACTTCTTGAACATCTGTGACTCAACTCTCTGTCTATAGATGGGTGTTGGTATTGGTGGCGATTACCCTATGAGTGCCATCATTTCCTCAGAATTCGCCGCTACACGTTCACGTGGTCGTCTCATGACTGCTGTGTTCGCCGCACAAGGATGGGGTCAATTCAGTCAGTTGATATGTTTCTCCTAAAATGATTTTCAATAACGTATCCTGAGCGCAGCTGCTGCTCTCATTGGTATTATCGTCGTCCAAGCATACAAGAGTGAAATCCTCAGTTCCCCATTCCCTTGCGTCGTTCCTGTCGATTATGCCTGGCGTCTCTTGATTGGTCTTGGATGCATCCCCGGTGTTGTTGCACTTTACTTCCGTCTTACTATTCCTGAAACTCCTCGTTTCACCATGGATGTCGAGCGTAATGTCGCACAGGCTACTGCAGATATCACCAATGTGTTGAATGAGAATAACGCTACGGATATCAATGCTCTGGCGCAGACTGTCGCAGCCCCGACAGCAACCCGCGCAGACTTTGCCGAATACTTCAGCAAGTGGAAGAATTTGAAAGTCCTGATCGGTACCTCCTACTCCTGGTTCGCTCTCGATGTAAGTCCTAATTTGGCTCTTTTGAGGTCGGAAATTAATGTTCACATCCAGATCGCTTTCTACGGCCTCGGCTTGAACAGCGCAATCATCTTAACTGCAATCAACTTTGGCAGTCCCACCGGTAACAAAACTTCGGCACTTTATGTTTACCAGAACCTATACAACATTTGTGTCGGTAACCTCATCCTCTCCGTGGCGGGCTTGATTCCAGGGTATTGGGTATCTTTCCTTTTCATCGACTCCTGGGGCCGCAAGCCCATCCAATTGATGGGCTTTACTGTACTCACCATCCTTTTCATCATTATGGGTCTGTACACTTCACCGCTATGATCACGTCCGTGAGACTGACGATTACTGTGCAGGTTTCGCTTATAATGCATTGGACGCTACCACCTCAAGCAAAAACGCATTTGTCTTCTTGTACTGCCTCACCAACTTCTTCCAGAACTTTGGCCCTAATACCACCACTTTCGTGATTCCTGGAGAGGCTTTCCCTACTCGTTACCGTTCGACAGGCTACGGTATCTCTGCTGCGACTGGCAAGCTCGGAGCTGTCATTTCCCAGGTCGGCTTCGCTCAGCTTATCAACATCGGCGGCCCGAACAAATTCGTGCCACACATGTGAGTTGGCACGAACATTCTCGGACCTGTGTTCAGAAACTAAATTCGATTTCGTAGTATGGAGATCCTCGCTCTGTTTATGTTGACCGGTATCTTCTCTACACTTCTCATTCCCGAGACGAAACAGAGATCGCTCGAGGATATCTCGAATGAGGATCAGGAGGGCTACATCAGAGAAGTTCCGAAACCAGCTCGTTCCTGAGTAAATGTGTGCTGGATTATGTTTTTATTTTATTTCAAATATATAGCGCGGACCATTGTCTATGTATCACATTTAGTCGATGTAGGCATCAGTGTTGCTTACTTTAATAGCGAAGGTGATTGAGATCAACTAGCTGCGCATCCTCAGGCCTCAGCACTGAGCAATACGTCGGTCTGCAATTAGGAGCAGTGACAGTAACAATATGAGTAGACCGGGAACGGTTCTTCATTGTAAGATTTAGGCAAAGATGGGCCCGGGATGAGACGCCTTGAACGAAAGGATGGTGCTGCATCTTATGCCTGAATCCAAGCCCTGCCCGCCATGTTGGGGGAAACTAGGTTACACGTTGTACCACCGCAGCTCGGAAAGCCTTGGGATCGTCGACTCATCTAGGAGAGACAAGAGAATTAGCCTGCTATGAATGACTTTCATGAGAGGCCTTGGGATATCATGATGTACTTCATGGTGTAGGTAGAGATCAGTCGCTCATCCTTGATGGACTCGCGCAATCCTTTGGTTTATGCACTTACTAGTAGTACCAAACGTCCACATCCCTTTGTTTCACAGGATTTCTGTGATAAGATCACTAGATAAATGAGTAGGTGCGGAAAATAATGAACCTTTGTGCGCGATGATCGCAAGCTCGAGTGTGCGCCGTAATTGACAAGCTCTTCGTATTTGTTGTTGTTCTTCACCCGGACCACTTCACGGTTTAACGTTATAACTATTACCCACCACTCCCAGTTTAATGCTTACATCGCGTTCCGATCATCAAGGTATATTGATGGTTGAATGCGATATCCAGCTATCTATCTTGTTACATGACATGGACATTTAACGCTGTGCCCGCCGCGTTCGGTCCGACTACTGTTTGTTTAATCTCACTGTTTCCATTCAAGAAAAAACGGACAACCCTTTGTTCCTCGGATCAACCGACGTCAGTCAACTTTCTGGTCGATCTTTTCAAGTTATGTTGTATCGAGATCTGCAGCCACAGCGACAACTCGGCTAACAGTTGGAGTTCAAAACTTCGCGATCTATCGCGAAGTTTGCACTTGAAACACAAACACATACATTGCCCTCTGACTGTCCCTTTGACCATATCCTACCCGCGCCCTGCCCACGTCATATCATCGACTCCAACTCTACAGCCGTCAAGTATCTCGAAAGGCCCGGGCGTGCTGTGTACGATGTCCACGCAGTCTGCGGCGTTGCTGTGAAGATTTCAACGATACAGACGCCCAGCTGAGCAATACCACGTTGTTCACGAAATGATACAGATGTAATACGGTACCGAATCACTGTTCCCAAGAAGTGCGATGACTCCCGGGTATTGCATTACCCGATTGTCGGACTGAGGGTGTCGTTGTCTACAGCACATCAGCGCTTCAGCCTCAGTTATTTCAGGTGTTTGGCTCCGTGATGCTTTCTCAGGACAGACACAGTCTTGACCATTTCTGGAGGGTTATTGCAACACATCGAAGCTATGCCACGAGATTCACGTGCGGTGATTTCATGCTGAGACATCAGTGAATTGAGGTATGTGATGAGATGCGGTTGTATATTGACCACGGAATGCAATTCATGATTATAAACAACCTAGAGGCGCTTTAGCTGCACAATGTAACTTACTCGAGACTGTCACTCAATCATTACGCCAAAAGGCAGTGATGCTGAAAGCTTGCGTTTCAGTATCGCAGACAGTATTGATGGGAACTTTAGTAAGTCACCTAGTATACACATGTAGTCGTAGCCCTTGCAATTGAGCATACCACGACCCTTACTTGACCCTTACCGGGTCGTGTTTGGGTAAGTATTATTATGACTTACCGAATCGGGAAGTTTAACCCGTGACCGTGCTCTCAGTGAGAACAACTAAATGCTCTGCTGTCTTGTTTTTTCCCTCCCCGTGAATCATTCTAACAATTTACCGAGCTGACACTTTGCGACAGAGAAGCTCGAGTCACTACCATAAAGCCAAGGCAAAACTCGAGACCAGTATCAAGTCCACTTCGAGTCGTCTTTTCATGAAAATAAAATTGAAGCTCCCAAAAAAGGCGTCCGATGCTTCGGAGTCATCTACCAAGTCACACTGAGATATCGTCTCAGTCTATCTCGTCGTCCACGAGAAGGCCAAGTCGCTCAAAAAGGCTGTCGCAAAGGGTGCTAAGACTTTGGCATATACTCTTCTTGTTCATGTGCCCGCGGTGTTATCTAGAACCTGTGATATTTACGGGTCAGTGTGTACCCGTGCCCGTGGAGGGTACGGTATCGACTTTCCGGCCCGCCGTGGCGATTACACCCAGCCAGAAATTTGAAATAGGACTGACGGGACGGGTGCACATGTGGACTATGGCATAGCCGCACTGGCATTGGAAAGCGTCTACCTGTTGTAGTCGAGATGGCCGGTGAGTGTTTATAAGTGAATCTCGCGAACGAACTTGAACTTTGATACATTCTCCTTTTTTGAAGGTATGATTAGGGTAGCTGATCGTATAAAAAGGATATCGGCTGTGCTGTCTATTCAAGGTTAGTGTTCCGGCCAGAGCACAAAAAGGCATGAGCGTAGCGCTCAGCTACCACTAGTACTGAGATCTGACTCAGAGAGGCTAGATCAATCATTCAGGCTGTTCGACTAGGTTTCCCTATAAGCCTAATTCGGCCATTTTTGCAACATTTGTCAGCGCCCTTCATCAATGGATTGTAGCTGAGAGTCATTTACCAATGGCTTTATGCGGTTACTACCTGTACTATTAGTGATGCTAAATAGCACGTACGCTTGTATGGTTACCCTTCTGAAGTTCCTTCGATCTACATCTTATCCTCCAAAGAAGAATCGGAAACCAGCAGCAACGACATTCGCGCCATGACCCAATTCCTGCCAGCATATAGTTTCGCTACCAGAAGCATGGTTCCCCTGATAACTGGTTTTAGTATATCATCTATGTATGATCGTGTTATTGAGAAGGTGCTAGTCGTATACTAACGAAGGCCGACAGAATTTTCTTGATTTTGACCGCGCAAGTCTGGATCTATTTCAGGAGACGTGGAATTCGATCCCGGGAGAACAAGCGGAGCAAAAGTCTGGTATGAATTTACGTTGCATATCACGAACTAATCGTTGACAGCGCAGAACAGGTTGCCCTCATCTGGTAAAAATCTCTAATTATGCGTTTCATGCAGCAGTTGACGGAAAGACTGACGTTGCGTTACAGGTTGATGCAAGCTGCTCAAATGTGAGTCCCTATAGAAAATATATGTACAGGCTACTGGAAGTCTTGCTAGGGTAATCACTACTCGGTTATCGTGCATTCATGCGATGGAGTTCGATGATGTATCCCGTTTCAGTGGCTATATGTCGATGTTAGTATCGTCGGTGACTCATCAAAGTGTTTTCTGACAGAACGATAGCGACTGGGCGCTTTACACCGGAATATGGGTGAGGGCTTTTCTTCCCCCGGTCTCGAACCAATAAGCTCACTGTCGTTCCATAGTCCTTGACCACGTCCCTTGTGCATGGCGTCTTCATATCTAGGGTTTTCAGACGTACGTGCTGCTAAAGTACTACCATTATGCTTCTTCTTGATTCGCGCGTGAAGTTGAGAAGAGTCTCTATGGTAAACGGAGAATAACATTTGTTCTGGTAGGCACTGCGTTTGGCTACTTCGGAAACAGCGGCTAATCGCGCCAATCAGATTGCATTTTGTGTCATGGAGCAAGGTACGGTACTTTATCCTGCAACGGATAATCGCTACCTAATCACAGAAAAATAGTTTTTGGTCTTCTTAGTGCAATCTTCATGTAGGTCCAATTTTATCAGTGTCGCCCCGTCAATTGTTTCTCAAATACGGGAAACAGCGCTAAACTAAGTAATCATAACTATAAAGTCATGATTGTGGTAAGTTTGTTCTACCTTTGATCGGGATGTTGGCAACTCACAAGGATGAAGTGGTCTACCTCGATCTCGCTTGGTTGTTCAGCAATCAATGATGTTCTTATCGCTGGAACTTTGGTATATATTCTCTACAAACACAGGACTGTATCGCCAAGGTGATTAATGAATTCGAGTATGAAATTTACCTGTATAATTGACCGTCTTTGTGCTCAGAACTAACCAAATGATCATGAAACTCATTATATTCTGCTCGCAAACGGGTCTGATTACAACGCAAGTTCCTTGGTAGTGACAATGGATATGTACTCACCGCTTTCTGTGTAGCGTGGCGGCATCCATCACTATTGGAATTGTGAGTGCTTCATCTCGCGCATTGACTATATCTCTGACTTAGATGTAGTGGATAGCTTGCCGTTTTGATATTTCTCATCTATATATGTGTGTTCCTCTTGGAGGCTGTGAGTGTCTTGTTGTTATCAACTCAAGTACACGGAATGTTCTGACGTCCTGGCTGGTCAGTATATGCTACATGTCTTCTCGCCAAGTGAGTCGTTCTCAGGGGTAATATAAGAGACTACTGATATCTTGCTCAGCTTCATCGCTCGGGAATCCTACCTACAGCCACAGACAGTCCACGAACCCGAGATTTCCGAAATCAGTCTCAGTTTTGGACCTTTCACACAGGTGATTCATGTGGGCTTGCCAGACAATAACTCAGGGCAACAGGAAACATTTGCAATGCAAGAAGGAACACATTCCTCAAAAGCGTCTTCCTGTTAAGTCGAGTGGCTATATATGATAATCCTTCACCATCTCGCGATCGGTGTTGTCGTAATTTCCTAGAGTTAAATTATCATCGTACGTATGTGTCAAGAAGTTGTTCGATATCCACTGTATTTACATTCCTCGAGGGTCGCAGTCAGACCATTAGAAGGAACACAAATCATTTCCTGATTCTTCACAGTGCCTCCGTCCTTCTAGAATACTATGAGACATATTTCCGTCGGAATGCCGCCGTGCACAAATACTATGTTCAAATCACTGAAAACATATGTTATAATGAAGACGATAAGCATAATCGGCTAGAATGTGGCAGCGCAAGGTATATCTACATGCATCGTTATCCTCTACTTATGAGTCCATCAGGAAAACCCTCGGATACAAAACCAGACTAAATATGATGAACTTCGTGAACTTTTTTCCAGGTCATGGTAGTTTTGCAAAAATAGATAACTTAGCGGATTAGAGAACCTTTTCACTACCACACGAAGTACGGTTTTCCGGAGCGGGCGAGGTTTTCTGGAGGAACGGGAGAGTCTTCTGGAGGGGCGCGAGGGCATGCTAGGAAGATATATTATTCATAGATGGCGGGAAGGTGGGTCTAGCAGACTACTTTCCCATAACATAGAAACCGGGTCTGAAAGACAACTATTGGTTCCGAAAAGTAATGCCTGAGGTGTGCGAACACGAGGACATCCCAGTTTAAACTTCCAGTGCACTGACGCTCATTGTGTCTTGCTGTCAACACGTCGTGACCTGCTGAGGAACATATTGTTGTAAGTGGTGATTTTAAACCTTATGGGATGAAAGCTGAAACGGAGCTCCGCCTAGATGTCTTCACCCATCGTTAGAAGACAGGAGACCTCAAGGATATTGCCTTGCCAGAAGTTTGAGGGACATATCAAGTCTGTCCACGGCGCCATACATCTACCAGGCGGACAACGGATAATGACATGTTCATTGGACGGCTCGCTGCGAGTATGGAACTTAAAGAGTGGGAAACAGATAGGAGACGACTGGCGGGACGGAGATAGTCCAGTGTACACCATAGCGTTATCTCCGGACGGGAAGAAAGTGGTCAGCGGGAGTGAGGATGGCGGAGTGAGGTTGTGGGACATGGACACAGGCAAAGTCATCATGAAATGGATGGGGCATACAAAGGCAGTGAATTCTGTCTGCTGGAGTGGAGACGGTCAGCGAGTCTTGAGCGGATCTCGCGAAGGGACTGCAAGACAATGGGATGTAGAGAGCGGAGAGGCAAAGCTCGTACCCATCAACACCGACAAATACTACATCTGGGTAGGCGTCTACTCGCCAGACATGACCATGTTTGCAACTAGCGTCGGATCCAGACAGCATGCCAAAATTTGGGATGCCAAGACAGGCAAGCTTGTCGCTAATCTTGAAATTGATATGGTGCAGTGCCTGGCTTGGACTCTGGATGGAAAAACGCTTATATCAGGGTTGCGCAATGGCTCGATTAGTACATGGAGTACTACAACTTGGAAACAGATTGCAGTGTTGGCCGATGGGTACCGGTGTGTCGTACACTTGGGACGTTTCTGGGATGCTAAAAGAAGCTAGCCTTAGCAAACTTCTGTTGGACAAGCCGGTCCTTGCTGTACGTGACTCTTTTTATGATCAGGTCCTATTTGCTGAGATCCTGTCGCAACTTGCATGTTCTCAGCACCCTCAATCATGGGCATCGCGTGCGAGCACTCTTCGTGACCGACTTTTTTCTTTTTTCTACCCTGACGCCCACGATACGTCTTCGCGACCCCGCCCTTTCCACTGGGTTCGATATAATCTCTCTGGCAGACCAACCGGTGAATATATCGAGCTACGCGAGCGTCCCTCAGCAGTAGTCGATGTTCCGTATGCCAAGGGCAAACGTGTATGTAGTCTTCTTCCTTCTCGAATATTCAAACCCCATCTCATCACAAAGGAACGCATCAGCAAGAGAAAGACGGATGAAAACAACTCCATTGAGAACTGGGAACCCTGCCGCAAGCACCTCACGTCCTCCCAATGGCAATACCACACAACACTCTAATGCAGCTCAAGCCCAATCTTCGCAAGCACAGGCTGCTGTTTCCCCTTCCACCGCACCTCCCGCCGTCAGTAATACACCTTCAAGCGCTAATCCTCATGCAACAATCCACGACACCCTCGATCATGGGCATCGCATGTGAGCACCCTTCGTGATCGATTTTCCTCTTTATTCCACTCCGACGCCCACAATTGGCACCGTTTACATACCACGGTTGATTCTGATTTTTGTCGTTGCCAACAAGCCTTCACTGATCAGGAAAGCGACTCTTCCCAATAAACATGTGTACTACTAGTACTGAAATGAAAACACTTGCATTTGCGTGCTCCAGAAATAATACATATGTAGATTGACTCCGGTCACATCAAGTAGGTAGGGAGGAAAAACTTGGCTACAAGTCAACAATGCTTCTCAATACGTCTCAAAAAGTGCGACCTTCTCTCCGACCTCACTGCATGTGGATGAAGTCAGTTGAACCTTTGCGAGATCCCCTCTCACGCTCAATACCCGCCCACCAGTCAAATGTTAATCAGCAGGAGCTCGTTCTTAGCGAGTTTAAGACCTTTGTTAGTTTATGACGATACCCCAATAAATATTCACACATAGCGAATCCTGCCTCATCTTCAGTTCATCAGGACGGCAACGATGAGGATCATAATGGCCTCACCTCAGTTGTCAAACTCGGGCTTGGAGTCGGAGGCCAGCGCGTCTTTCAGCTCACACTCGAGGACCTTGCCCTCCATCGTGTTGTCATCAGCAGGCGCATCTTTCTCGGGCTGACACATTTTGCGCACAAGATCCTCAGCATGATCAAGTTGCGAATCAGCAGTACAGAAGTCCGCGACTTCGCGTTGATATCGTTTCTTTTTTGTCTCCATGTCAGTTTCGGAATCGATGTCGTTTCTTCGAGCTAAAAGATTTTTGAGGAATTTGAACTCCGTGTCAGTCCGTGCATATTGCATAGCATCCTGCTGGAGAACCAGTTGAGACAATGTGGCTTGTTGAACATGTGACTCGACTTCCCAAGCAGGCGCTTCCATTCGCGCTTAGCTTGCTGCGCGATGATGGCTTGCGTGGCAATCTGAATAGAAACAAATCTCAAGCCGTTTTCAAAGGTTTCTTGACTCTCAGGCTGGTAGGGTGCTTGTCAATATGAAGAGGTACACCCATATGTTAACACAATACCTCTTGGCTATCATTTTCCAGATCCGAATTCAGGCAAGACTTCTCGAGCTGCGATTTTGCACGCTTCACAGAGTAGGACAGATTCTTTATCATAGGGGGGATGCGCGGAAGCGCACGAAGTTCATCGTCTGATGAATTACTGTCGTCGTCGTTGATGGGTGCCCGTCGGCGCTCATATGGTTTGTGACTCAGACGTGTACTCTGTGGACGTCTGGAAAAGTTGGAACTGTGATCAGGACTCTTGCTAGTGGCGATAGAACTCGGAGGACAGGTGAGTTGATTGTACATTATGCGTGTTATCCTGGAGGCTGCCAACGTGGAGCTCAGACTCGGATCCAGCTGGGTTTCAAAGTATCACTTTGACACATAATCACCTTGCTTGCAAGGTCATAAGTATGCCATCTGACGAAATCGGACTAACTGCCAATAATAAACCCCAGTGAGAATCGACAATATTTATAGATAGATAGCTAAAAAGATAATACCTATGAAAAATATCGATACCGTTTGACGTGTTTTGACAAATGAGACTTTTTGAGACGAAAAAAGATAGAGATCGAAACGAACATTTAGCGCTTCGATACGATTCTCGTTGGCTTTAGATCACTTTTAGATGCATATATGCGCTGAAAATGTTCCATTTGGGAGGTATCTAATGCCATTGAATGAGGTATCTATAGGTATCGCTATGGTTAGCATCATAAAAAAAACAGCAACCGTACATCCCATGTGACAGCCAGTAACAGCCGGTACAAGGTGCACAATTGCTACCATCCCCACAAACACATGACAGACGTGTGTTGAGTTTGTCAGTTTCCATATAAGTCCGTGCATGCAGCGAGGTTTTATGTACGCTTCTACCAGCCTTGTACCAGTTGGTAGACCCTGATAATAAATACATGCCGCTACAACTGTTGTTATAATTGTGCTTCCTGGTGGTCCCTTGCGCAAGTGATGAAATTGATGGATATCTCTACAAGCCTTGTTATGTTTGTGTCAGTCGGCAGACCCTTGTTTGCTTCAAATTCAATGCCGCATACTACTACAAATCTTGCAGCATTCGTGCTTCCTGGCAGTCCCTGGCATGGATGATAAACTTCTATGCAAATTCCTATAATCCTTGTCATGCTTGTATCACTCAGTAGACATACATAATACAACAAATCTTGTGTTTCCTGGTGCTCCCTGGTGCGGGTAATGAATGCCAATAAACTTCTATGCAAATTCCTATAAGGCTTGTCATGCTTGTATCACTCGGTAGACATACATAATACAACAAATCTTGTGTTTCCTGGTGCTCCCTGGTGTGGGTAATGAATACCAATAAACTTCTATGCATATTCAGCCAGTACAATCACTAAAATCGGCCAAAATATATTCCCTTTAGAATCAGCACGGGCATGCCTAGTATATACTAGTCTCGACTTGCAGCCGGGCGTTCAGGGTACACAAAGTTCAAACACTACCCCATATCTCTACCCACTCGCGACCCTGCATACAGCAAGGGTCACCGATCACTGCTAGCAGGACGGGTACTACATGCGGGTACTAGTATCGGACGGTTCAAACCTGTCACGGGCCCGGGTATTTCATAGCCTATAGGCAGCAGAATAAATAGTGGACAATGTACTGTATACTAGTATTTACGAACATGAACCTAATTAATAACTGGAGTTAATCACCGCAACCGTACATGGTTACAGCTAGGCAGTAGCATGGTATGGGTTTGCACAGGTACGGATACTGGTCCATGGGTCCACAGGTATCGGGAGTCAGAACGAGCGAGCAAGAGCAGATGTAAGGACGACCAATGACCAACGAGCAATGAACGACCAATGACCGGTGACCAACGACCAAAGACTCAAGACCAAAGACCAAAGACCAAAGACCAACGACCAATGACCAACGACCAACGACGACCAACGACCAAAGACCAACGACCAACGAAGACCAACGACCAACGAAGACCAACGACCAAAGACCAACGACCAACGATGACCAACGACCAACGAGTAGATACAAGGATGAGCGAGAGCGGAGGGAGAGCAGCGAGAGGACAAGTGCAAGTGAATGAAAGCAAGTTCATATAAGAAGAAACACTCACAAGTGAACTTTGTGAGGCACAAATAAGCGGCGGTCACAAAGAGCAAATATTATCCACGGAACCGAGGACAGGCATTTGGCCCAACTCAGACGCCATACCATTAATGTCATGTCCATTTGAATCTGTAAAAAATGAGTTCATAATAGACACATAATCGGTGCCAGTCTGAGTCGACGTCATTGTAAACTAACGGTTATTGAGACTTTACATTCCTGAAAAAGAACGGAGCTACAGATCAGACCCGCAACTCGTTATGCGGATAAGCCATGATGCATGATGACCTAATGGTCAGTCTTGATTCTTCTGTGACCGGAATGCATTAGACTTACATAGTGCGGTTGTATTGTGTGTAATGCCGGTGACCTCGTGAAGCTCAAACAAACAGAGTCGCATGTGAGATGCCAACCCTGCACTACTGTAGATCCGACCATATCATAACCGCATGAAGAACAGAAGTGTCAGCCTGAGTTTCAAGTTAAGCTAAACCAACAGTGGCCTAGTGAGCGATGAAAGGAGATGAGCTTCGATGCGACGTCAAGCCAAGGCTGCAGGTATTTTTTTTAGCAATGGAATTACTCTGCATAGTTCGGCAGGTGACTGGGAGGAACTCACTGAAAATTGTGTTCTAACGCCACAGCGATCCGATATGGAAAATGATGACACGCGGCACCATTCAGTTTATTTGGTTCATGTCTGTGCTGATGCTAGTGAGTTGGAGGACTAAGCCTGCGTGTCCGTGCCATGACTCACTCCGACTCGGAATTGTTCGGGTTTCTGATTATTGGCACGACCTTCATGATTTTCCAATGGCAGTCTACTAGTACATAGTCTTACATTAAAAGCTTTCCATCGAGCTTGAATATACATCGTGATGGTATAGGTTTACAACAGAAGGTATCATAAATGATAAGTTTACTTGGCACTGCCCTCCAGAATGCGATGAATCTTGGACAGCACTTCTGTTTGCCTGTCAATGGCAGCTTCGAGGCGTTTCACAACATTAAGTACTGAGGTTTCATGAGTCGTACCTCCATTAAATTCAAAGGGGCTTCCCAACTTCCTACGCTTTGGCGCTTCAAGTGCTGGGACTGATTGAGCACGTTGGACATTGGTCAGGTTTCGCCCAAAGCGGTGTGGTGTCTACATTCAATATGGCCATTAACAACTGACGTGAAAAATGAAATGATGAGTCCAGCTCACCGTTCCTCCCACGGAGTCAGACTCAGAGGCCATTGTTGACCTCTTGTGCTTCAGGGGCCGAATTTCCGAGTCACTGCTACGGCCTCCAACTTGTGTGGTCAAACTATCGACATCCTGGAACAATAACCATTAGATTTGGGTGTATGATATCTTGAGGTGGCCACTGTACCCGTTCAAGTTCCTGGTGTTTGGATACATCTGCGAGTGCATCTGCGAGTGCAAGTGCAGGTTCAACTTTCGTGCGACGGTAGCACCCGCAACTGTATACGGGGGCGCCTTGGCCATGGGATTGGCCACCGAGGCACGGCTCATAATCATGGCTATGTGGAGTGCTGGGTGTGCTGCTTCCACCTTCACACAACTCCTCAATTCTAGCAACTATGAGGAGAGCTTCAGCTTCGCTTAAGCCAGGTAGGTGTGAGTCCGAGTCAGTACTGGTATAGGGCATGGCGAAATGTGGTCATCCAGGCTCTTGTGACAGAAAGTTGAATCTTGATATGGATTTTCAATGTTCCGTAAAACAAAGTTCTTGAGCTCCGTCTGATCTTTGCCACATACAGCTGGGCTTTAGTAACTTTCCCGATGTGGCACGGGCATCATTAAAAAATGTAGGGTTTGCGAAGGACTGATCACCTGGGTTGCGTGCAGAGCAGCACCGCCACCACACCACGCCACACCCAAACTGAGGATGGGCGCGACCCCAGGCAGCTGCAGGAACGAGCCCAAAGATGGAGAAAAAGACCGCAGGAGGATGCGGGACATGTGGTCGACATTGTAGACGGAAAAATGGGGATGGAAGAATATGATGCGGCCCTGTTATGCTCACTAAAGTTGTTGATTGCCTCGCCTGTGATAGTCAGACAGTCAAACAGCGCATTATACATAAGAGACAGAATGAACTCACAAGAACCAGTGAGGGTACCCCGTACTGTGCAGCATACTACTGATCCAACAAATATACGAGAGAGGCCACAGGGGGCCGGTTGACCCATACTGATCCGGCAAACATACGAGAGGGGCCACAGAGGGTTGGTTGACCATGCTGGGTGCATGATGCCCCACATCGGTACCTGGTGCAGGGATCAACAAAGAAGGACCAGCCTTCAGTGAGTCTTCAAAGGCCAGACAGAGACGGGACATACCGATAAGCATGAATGGAGCGCTCATGAGTTTCTCCTGCACGCCCTGGTAATAAGTAGTGAAGTACTATTAGTACAGCTGCCAGATATTGAGTGAAGTGACACTCGAACGCACACTCACCGGTGTTGCCCAATTTTTGTCCGGCCTGTCGAGTCATGCTGATCGTCGGTGGTCCAGGTCCAGGTGCCACGAGTGCGATTGGCAATCGAGCCCAATGAGGAAGGTAGTGATGTGGTTGAACGTTAAGTCATCAATGCATCACATTTGCAGTCTAGCCTCACTAAGTATAGCTGCCGTCGAGGCTCAATGCGAACTCGAAACGACCAAATTTGTTTCAACTCGAAACTCCGATTTGAAACGAGTTCGAGATTTACAATTGACTTGTATACTTTGTGTCAATGGCCTGCGGGTTGATCAATCATCCAGGAAACAAAAGTGAGGCCGGTAACAAATACTCTATTATAACAGTGGCGGATCATACAGTATTCATACAGTACAAGGCTTACAGTATTCATACAGTTGATTCATCAAATACTATACACCGGCAGTTACGCACCCCTGTACCATGTTTTTGAACAGGCCGTGCAATAATACTTTGGAAAGTCGTCAATTCACATATGCCAATGATCAGAGTAAATACATACTACAATTCAAGGCGAGGTGTGCCAGTTAATTTCCCTTGTTATGTTGTTCAGTGTAAGGCCCATCATTGAGGCGGCGATGTTTGAAGCGGCTGCTCGGCATTGGCGCAGGTGGTAACAAGACGATGAGTTCTCGTAAAACAGCTTCAAAGATGTCATGCCTTGAATTCTTCACGTGGTGATGGCAAAAAGCCATATGAACTTCAACAAGCGCACCCTTAAGTTTCGCTTCGTACTCGAGTGGTGGGATGAGAACGTGGTTCTGATCATATGCTGGTAATGGGCAAATATTATGCCTGGATGCGACATCCTGTAGATGGCCTTTACATCGGTCGGCAACTGGCCAAGTCGCGATGTCAAATTCGGAGCTTAGGCTGTCTGGGGAGGCTAAAGCGGATACTTAGGTTCATACAACAACAAA